TCACAACTGGCGACTCCTTTTTTTTTTAAAAAAAAAAAGAAAAGATACCCCTAAACTTTATGTAAAAACCAATAAGGTAATAAGGATCTGCTTTTCTTTTAGAACATATTGTTTTTTTTTTTTTTCATTTTCTTAATATTCCCAATTATAAATTTATAATATGTGTTTTTCGTAACTGTATGATTGATTGTAGCAGAAAATATCTAGTCAATTACTGCTGAAGTTGGTGACCAATTTGTTTGATAAAACAACAGTCGTGATAGATTGATTAGTGAAGAAGAAAATGGACAAAAAGGTCATGAAATGGAGCATGACAGGTGTGTTTGCCTTATTGAAGTTCTAGAAGTTCTATTTTATATATATATATATATATATATATATTTTTTTTTTAAATACAATATTATTTACATTCAAAAGGAGATGTGGATTTAGCCTCACAATAAATTAGCAATAATGTGATTCAAATTTTCATTTAGCAACAATCGAATCTAAAATCTCTCATTTATAAGCAAGGTTCTAAAAATCGCTAGGCGCTACTCGGGCGCCTAGGCGGCTTAGGTGGATTTATGTAAATTTATTATATATCTTGTAAATAAGTGTCTATTTACACCTAAAAAAAATATACTTGTATGGATAATAAAAGAATGATAAAATGCAAAAATAGAAGTAGAAGAATACACAAATTATATCATTAGTACTTTGATGAATTTGATGGAATCAGATACAAGTTCAAATGATACAAATCTGTAGTACTTTAGGAAAATTTTCAAAGATGATATGAATTTATAGTGCATTTAAAGAAGAATAAAGGTGCCAAATATATGTTTAGAAATGATTTAATCTTTGAAAACAAAGTATTTGACAAAAAAAAGAAAGTATTTAATCAACAATTTAAAATAATTACATTAAAAAATGGAGGGTGGGAAACCAAGATGCATAGATGTTACATCCTGGCCCGGGCCCCTACCATATCCTGGGCTTGACTCTACCGTAGCACGATATTGTCCGCTTTGGGCCCTGACCACACCCTCACGGTTTTGTTTCGGGGAACTCACACGAGAACTTCCCAATGAGTCACCCATCATGGGAGTGCTTTCGTGCGCTACTCTCTTAACTTCGAAGTTCCCATGGAACCCGAAGCCAGTGAGCTCCCAAAAGTCATTGTGCTAGGTAGGGATGTGAATATACATATAAGGATCACTCTCCTAGGCGATGTGGGATCTTACAATCCATCCCTCTTAGGGGCTCGACGTCCTTGTCAGCACACATCCGGCCAGGGATTGGCTCTGATACCAAATTGTTACATCTTGCCCCGAGCCCCCACCACATCCCAGGTTCGACTTTACCGTAGCACGATATTGTTCGTTTTGGGCCCTGACCACGCCCTCACAGTTTTGTTTCTGGAAACTCACACGAGAACTACCCACTCAAATTGTCACATCCCGACCCGGGGTCCACCACATCCCGGGCCCGCTGCACCACCGTAGCACGATATTATCCACTTTGGGCCCCAACCACTTCCTCACGGTTTTGTTTCTGGGAACTCACACGAGAACTTCCCAGTGGGTCACCCATCATAGGATTGCTTTCACACGCTGCTCGCTTAATTTCGAAGTTCCCATGGAACCCGAAGCCAGTGAGCTCCCAAAAGGCCTTATGTTAGTATTGTCACATCCCGGACCGGGCCCCCATCACATCTCGGGCTCAACTCCACCGTAGCACGATATTGTCCGCTTTGGGCCCCAACCACGCCCTCGCAGTTTTGTTTCTGGGAACTCACACGAGAACTTTCCAGCGGGTCACCCATCATGAGATTGCTCTCACGCGCTACTAGCTTAACTTCGGAGTTCCCATGGAACCTGAAGCCAGTGAACTCCCAAAAGGCCTCGTTTTAGGTAGGGATGAGAATATACATATAAATAACACTCCCTGGGCGGCGTGGAATCTTACAATAGAAAGGAGGGAGGGAGGTGGGGCACCATTGTGCTAGCTGTACGTCTGTACCCTCATTTTTTTTTATAGTTGTACCCTCCTTTATATATAGTGCATTTTTGCTTACCATCATTTAGTGGGGTGAGTGTATGCTCACCATCCTATTTATCACCATTAGATGAGTTTCGATTTTGAGATTTGTGCTTATCCATTACACGAATCTCGAAATTCAAACTCATCTAATGGTGATAAATAAGGTGGTAAGCATACACCGCACTAAATGGTGGTAAGCAAAAATGCTCCCCGTTTATATATGTATTCAAGCAATTAGGATGCTAGGTGTCCCATTTTAATTGGACAATAGTTTAAAATATATTAAATATGAAAAAAGTGAGACATGATAGGGGTCACGTAGGTGAGCATCAAAGAGAGAGAAACTCAATTTTCTCTCTTCTTCTTCTTCTTCTCGTCTTCCTTGCTAGAATTCAAAACCCAAAACACAGACTGTGTAGATGTGCTCTACATTCCTCCTTCCTCATTTTGAAAACAAAAAAAGGCAGTGAAACACCAAGACCGCCTAGGCTATCTAGTCGCCTGCCTAGGCTGCCCAAGCGTCGCCCGGACCACCTCTGCGCCCGCCTAATCCTTTCCCCAATTTTCCTCCCAACTATAGGTTAATTGCAGAGGCTAACCACCGTCTAGGCCGATTTTTAGAACACTGCTTATAAGTGAATAGCAATATTACTAAACCGTAGTACTAAGTGACATTTTCTTATATATTTTAAAATAGAATCACTTATTGTTTTTGTCATGGCAATTCATTATTTTGGGGTTCGGAAAGACTTATAGAGACATTTTAGCCCTATTTGGGCACTATTGTGTCAGTCACCAAAGTTATGAATCAAACTCAGGATATGCCGTGTGAATATGACCTAAAATTCATCTCCAACTGCTGAATTACCCTGTGATGATTTTTGAAAGTTCTATAGCAAGCAAAAGTTTGTAGTTCAGTTATTGATATTCACCGACTACCGTTGAACTAAGGTTTCGAGTTTAGTTTCTAATCCTTCAAGGTTGTTTTTATAACAAAAATATTTTTTCATAAAGTATTAAGTAGTTAGTCAACGTTGTTAATAGTAATGATTATAAATAGTCCTTTCTAGCACATGGAGAGGGTATAATTGCTATTAAACTTGAATGTGGATCATCAGAAACAATTGATAATTAGAATTGAAAACGGTTCAAAAAATATATATAGAGCCATAAATTCATTAAAAATTATAAAAATAAAAGATGAAGAAAATAATTCGAAAACGTGATTGGAATGCGGATTGTATGATATATTATAAAATTTAAAAAACAAACAAGAAATAGGCAAACATTCAAGATGAATGAATTGTGGTCAAGAAATGACAGACTTGTGTAATTACCTGTTTTGTCATCGAATCCACAACAAGTAGTGGTCAAATTGGGTGAAGGCCAAAATTATTCATAATACATGTTTATTATAATTTACTAAAAAGAATAATTAAATTTAAGTATAAAGCATTGTACATACTGTCTTAATTAAATAACTTAATTCACGTTTGTGTCAGACACACTATCTTAATCAGTTGACCTAGATTATGTATGTATATATCATTATGATCATGATCAATAGGAGTAGCTTGGAAGCAAAAAGTTGGATAGTATGGACTATGGAGTAATTTGAAGAGTTGTTTTAAACAATTATGTGCAAAGAAAATAGTTTATTATTTTTGTGTAAATGGCATGCATAGTAATATAAAGATTTATGAGGGTGAGGTGTACACATTGCATCATATTCATATCACTACACGTCTTCCTTTGAAATCATCAAGCAATGGAACTTTGTATCCTAATTCTCAACCTTATGTGGCAGCACACCACAACACCAAAATTAATATACAATGTGACAGGCCAGCTATATTGTTCAAAGGATTAAATCCCTTTATTTAATAAATATTTTAAAATTAAGATGAAATTGAACCAAATAATTTTTTTTAATATATGGTTTATGTTGACAAAACCAAACTGAAAATCAATATCTCAGTTGTTGTTTTCATATGGATGGATTGATAATTTGCATCGTTCCAAGTGGCTGGAAGAAGGCAAAGCTCGAATCATATGTATGCGTCTCACAACTCATGTAACGTTTAGTGTTTAAATTTTAAAATTGTATGAGAATGACGGGTTGAAATATTCTTTTACATTTCATCACACTTTACCAACCAAACTCCATGTGGCTCCATGCAGTTGTGTAAATTTTCTTGACCTTCCATATAGTTATTGCCTCCATTAAGTATAGTTCGAGGCTCCCCGACCCAATTTTTCCCCTCTCCCCTCCGAATCCGTTACCTATTGACAAATAATAATAATAATAATAATAATAATAATAATAAGAGAAAATTATAGCAATGATCTTTCTATTTTAACTCAATTGAAGCGTTGGTCCTTCAAGTAAAAATATGTCAAAATGTGCAACTATGATAATTTTCGTCAATTTAGTCAGAACTTCCTTCAAAATGAGTCATGGTGGAAGGATTATTGTAAAATTGGGTTAAAGTTTAGCGACCATTGCTCTAATTGAGCTAAAGTGAAGGGATGATTTGAGTTAAAGTTGAAGAATCATTGCTATAATTTTCTCATTTGATTTTTCATATTTGCCTCTCGATTCAGCCTCGCGTACATTACGCCTAACTCATTTTGACGAAAGCTTTAATGAAGTTCACGAAAATGATCATAGTTGCACGTTTTGATGAGTTAAATGACCAATGTTCATAGATTTTTAAGTCAGGGATCATTGCTCTAATTCAGTTAAAGTTGAGTGACTATTGCTACAATTTCCTCTAATAATAATAATAATATCTCATCATGGGCTTCTAATTTCGGGTGGCACTTCATCGTGGGCTCAAAAACACCAACAAAAACCAGATCGATGAACTTTAAATTGACCCAACCCAAGAAATCCATCGGGAGCAAACTTGCAATAGGTCCGAGATGTATGGAATAAAAACCCACAAGAGGATATGAGCATTCAAAACACAAGGCCACAAGAAACCGTATTAACTGTCAAGGGACCATATCAGTTCACACTCTGCAGCAATGGCTGCAATCTTCCAAACTCTGCTTCCCCTTTGTTCTTCAAGACAGACCATATTATCCTCTCCTCCATCATGGATCCCCCTCAAACCAATCTCAGATTCCATGGCCTCCTTGGCCATTTCACAGTTCAATAGGCAGCAGGGACAAGTGGCAGTCTCAGTTGCCTTCAACCCATCTGGGAATTTCGACATCTCTTTATATGATGAAGAAGAAGGTATGACCTTTCTTAATTTGGTTTCTCTGGTTATCTTTCCATCCCTTCATCTTTTTCTAGTAATTTTTGTTTGACGCTAATAATCACCTACTCTTTCAAACGAGTAATTTTTCGGTGTGACAGTCACACTGTCACAATTATAACCTGTCTATCTATTTACTTATATTACAATTTGTGGTTGACAGACACATCTAGTAAAGTTGAGCCTCCGATGCCGCCAAGTGAAGGCCGATTTGAAATAGTTATTGACAATGACGTAATTCGAGGTCTTGATTTATCCCCGTTTCATACTGCAACTGGGATTACCATTCCTTCATCAGGTAATTAATTAGTCAATTAAGCATCAGTTTACCAAAGTAAAATTTCATGATTAAGTTTTATGCAAACCCTAATGTTGTTGTAATTAGCCAAGCCAAAAGAGTTTCTTGAACGTACAATCGGCTTTACCATCAACTACACAAGAGAAGATCCACGTGATCCTCGAGAACTATCCGAATTCCCTGACATAAGGCTCTGGTTTCTGAGACTTGATGCCGCTTATCCCTGGTTGCCCGTCCTCTTGGATTGGCGTGCCGGAGAACTAGCTCGTTATGCTGCTATGTTGGTTCCACACCAGGTATGATAATCTAGGGACCTTTTATTAGCGCTCTGAGCAGTGCAGGATGACTATTTTTTAGCGCCAATGTAATTTGTTACAATGCCATTGTGTCAAAGTTGGGGAATGAGAGGCTTGCTTAATGGCCTGGCTATTAATTTCTTATCTTTTCAGATGAACATGAGGATGGGAGTTGTCTTCAACCCCGAGGCTCTCGAGTTGTTCGTAATGCAGAAGGTTTTTGTTGTGTACTCATGGTTGAAGGAACATGACATTCCGAAGCCTAGATTGAAGACTAGTGACATGGCTAGGATGCTAGGGTTTGGAATTGGGGACGAACTTTATGACTTGATCGACAAGCATCCACTGAAAACATCATAAAACGAGCCTAAAGTCTCAACTTAGTGTTCCCCCAATGTCATACAGGGTAGATTAAGAACGTGGCAAGCCGTTGATGCGAGTCCAATTTACTGTCACGAGGAGCTGCTCCCCAATCGTTTGGTGGCGACAGTAAATCAATGTCAGAGAGAAGCTGCTACTACAACCAGGATGATTTTGTTAGAGCTGTTTTTCTCTGACTTCCAACTTTTGATACAGGTTTGATTTACTGTACTTCGTAGAATAGTAATTGTAAAACATTCTGTTTCTATTCATCTTGTTTGATATAATATCTTGCATAGACATACATTTCGTACATAAAGTTCCAATACGCGCGTAAGAGATTTTTTTTTAGTATTATACATTTCGATATTCTCGTTGTTTTTTTTACACGATCTGTACATTTACCATAAAAATGAAACTAAATTAAACTAGCCTTGTAAAATTGAGAAATCACCAAATTCTTCAACTTCATAAGACTTAATTAGTTTACGGACTTTGAATGTGAGAAAACGAGGGAAGAGTAGTACTTATACCGGGAGATTTGCACATAGGACACACATTTTTATACCCTAGCCATTGCTTAATGCACGAAATGTGGAAGCCGTGTCCGCAGTCCAATGTTCCTAGCTCATCCTCTTCTACAAAATCCTCCTGGCAGATGCTGCAGAAGTCTTTCTGAGTATTTTCTTCTGTAAACACAAAGTAATGGCTGCGTTTGAGAGACGTGACAGCTACTTCCTCAGATAATCCTGTGCTGACATACCCTATACGATCTTCTAAAGCCAATAGTTCCTACAGATGCCAAGAGAGATTATGACAACAGCAATACTAATTAAACCATTGACGATCATGATAGTTAAGAAACAAAGAAAGTTCCGATGTGAGAGTATACCTCATATGACATGTTATCCACATCGGGCCACATTGCTCCAGAACGATTGCGCATTTCAATAGAGAAGTGCAGAGGTCGTTGGAAAATAGCTTCAGCGTTCTACTCATGTACGTATTTACGAGGAAAGCAATCAAATGATCATGATACAAGGCATGTCACAGCAGATTGATATGATGGTTATGCAGGGCTTACCATACTGAAGTTTACTCCGCGGCTGGCTGTTACGACAAAAAATGAAGTCGGACCTTCTAACAAGCTATCAGGTGGCCTGTGCATGTATAGAGTCGACTCCATGAGAAGTTGCCTCCACAGATCAATTCGGGTCTCATTTTGGAACCAGTTATCATCAGAAGCCGCAGAAGCCTGACCTAATAGAAATGTAGAATCTACGCGACTTACGTGGGGAGGCCATAAAGATCGAAAAAAATTGTTAGGCATCCCAAAAAGACGTTGAAAAAGATAGAACTGGCGAAGAAGAGGAGCGGATCCAAGAATCAAAGTGGTGCAAGTGCCAGAATTGAACTCATCATTCTGTGAACCTGGAAAATTAGTATTAGCTCTTCCAATTTGATTAAGTATTGTATGAGATAAGTTGAGGTTTGGAATGTTGGCAATGCAACTTGTTATGCTCCTTGCGATGGCTGCTGAAAGCGGATCATGTGAGCTCCCTTGAACAATTAGGCTCGCTGGTCTTAAAGCTTGTTGTGATCCTCGCAGCGAGGACGAAGATGTCTGAGAAGATGCAAAAGAACTTGCAAGTTTGAAAATTGTGTAACTTCGAAACCGAGGCCTATTGCTTGTTTCACAAGAAATCACATCACGAATTAAAAATGTAAAAAGAAAACTTACAAGAAGAGATAAAAAGTGTGTGTTAATATTCACCCTCTCTGCAGATTCAAAATTGGCAAGTAAACCAGCATCTTCCCCCATCCTTTTACCACAGTCACATTTCTCTGCATTTGAGCACCAACATCTTCTGCGAATATAAGAAATTACGCGTTTGATTTCGCAGACAATCGAGTATTAAGATTTGACAACAAAAGTGGACGAGAAACGATGCAAACTTAATTTTGTTCTGCTAATTAACTTACGTTGGTTCTTGAGGAGGATTAGCATTAGAACAAGTTGCATGCATCATTAGAACGAGAGGAGATAAACTGAAAGAATTAATCAAAGCAACTATGATTAACACCTAATTATATGATTAAGACTAAAGATTAGTGCAGGAAATGAGAGCCAGAGAGATTAAATAGTGAATGGAAATGAGAGAGGAGGAAATTAGGTTGTGAATTTTGGGGTGGCTCAGCGGTTATGGTGGGCGGGATTTGTAACGGAAAAATCACCAACCACCAACTGTAAGGTGCTCGAGATATAAATTTGGGTGGAGTCTCTGGAGACGCTTTTACATCAAATAACAGGGGAAGCGGGGGCTCAATAAAGAGGACTTGATTGGACTACGAGTCTTGAAAACGCTAGGCCCAACATGTAATTTTTTTAAATATAAAAATTAAATTAGATGTGCAAAGCGATTTTTTGACACTTTTGTCAATAAAATCTCGCCACAACTTTTATGCTTCAAAATTAATTGTCAAATTTTATATTTTTTCAACTTGTTTGATAGTTGTTAAACTATATTATTGTAATGTAAATATATATAAACACATCATATTCAATTATTTGAGGCAAATTAGCTAGGGAAATCCGTTATCTCTTTCATTACATGAAGAGTACTTTCAGTGTATCCGAAATATAAATCAGCACATAATGTGTCATGATACAAGTGGAGGGACACTTAAAAAAACAAAATCTTCTAATTGTTTTATGACACATAATATACCAACTCGTATTCCGAGAACGCTAAAAAATATTTCCATATAATGAAAAAGATAAACAAATACTTATAAACAACTGATTATACAATACAAATTATGAAATTTTTTTTTTCTATGAGAGGTAGAGACTCACAATCGTGGATGCGCGCAGACTGTGTAGTATGAACCCTACTTGGTTGCAGGGAGTCGACCAATCGTCTCCATTGTCATATGCACAGCTCTTATTTTTTTCAACAATTCATGTCGATGAATTAGTACATGTTATCTCAACAGAAGTCTTCTTCTTCTCCGACCAGTCATGCAGGAAAAGACTAATAGTAGCTAGCTAGTATTGTCTATCAATAACGTCGGTGTTGCACCGTCAAAGGCCAATCTGTGTCAAGGACTCAAGTATGTGGAGTGGCCCCAAGTGTCCCCAACTGGTTGACTATACTATTACGTAGTTGAAGTAAGATCTGTGTATAATTTTAATCTTGAACTCCAAGGTTAGTTTATATTATGTTTATTTAAAATTACATAACAAAATATTCAAACTCAAGTGTAGATGGATAAATTTCGTGTTTATTCACCATCAACAGTGAATGATTGTAACACAGCCTTTTATGGAAGGCTCGGGAGGAAGCTGGAGCTTCTTTGCGAAAATAATTTCGTTTAGATGAGCTACGTGTTCGTTCATCATTAGCAATATTTATTCTAACACGCTAGCCTTTACACTTTGAGGATACAATCTTTTTTGTTTTTCAAAAAAATAACACAATGCTTTAGTTAACTTAACTAAATCAATATTCGATACTTATTTTAACTTCTCTAATTAATTAGCTTATTTCTCCCAAAATACAGGGTACCTGTACCTAGAGCTTGGATATTAGCCATGTGCCGATGTAGCAGGAAAACACATGTTAGGTACACAATTGTACACATAGGTATGGAAGGCCTACAAATAAACAAAATGGGAACAAACCCAACATATTTCGGTATCGATAATCCATGATTTAGCTACGTTTCACAATTTGCAGACGACAAGTTCACAAAAATTTCAAACTCCTGCATGACTCTATTTATATTTGTATATGTGTGAAGAAAGAGGGTTACCGCTTTCCATTTTCCAATTCCCGTTGTACGTTAATTTGACAAGTTTAATGTTCTGCCGAATAGATGTAAGGTTCTATCTCAACGACACTTGCACAGGAATCAATCCATCTCAAGAGGTAGAGAAAGTCTGCCTAGCACGTCTCACAGAAACTTCCAAAAATTCAGATTAAAATTCAATGCTAAATGTATATCATCATATCAGTGTATCATATCAACTGACTGGTTTATTTTATTATGGATACCTAACCTGGCATTTATGCATGCATGAGATGTTCAATCACGACGGTCCTAATTTGCCACTGCAGGTCACGTCGATCCCAACCAAATTAATGAGAAATTTTTTATTGGAATCGAAACACGGATGGTACATTACGTATTTTTATATACGTGTTGAGAAATTATATTTTTTAAGTTATTAACTTTTTAACACACATATCCCACCATTTATATATTGACATATAGTGTACCGTCTCGTGTTCCGATCACCGATCACGTCAATTTGAATGAATCAGGACGGTCTGTGCAAAACCTCCATGTCATATCATAAACCTATCTATTGGGTCCAATATTAAATATTTTTGTCTCCACGATATATCCAAATAAATTAATCATCCAACCAAGTAGTAATCTTATTACAAATATCTGGCGATTGTGATGAGATTTCTTTCACTTACATTCAAGGGTTTCAAACTCTAGAGACTATTAATTTATTCTTATTTATCACCTTACTCACCTTCACTATTAAACTAATCCTAATGACTTCCGTTAAGTCTGTCGATCGGATTTAACCATCAAATTTTAAGCCAGTTAAGGGAGTACCTAGGGTTAGTTGTTTATTTTTTTTCTTTCTAATTTTACATGTGTGTAACTGTGTATATTATCATATTACCAATCAGAATAAACGACAACTTTATTTATAATATACGTCTTTACGTTCAAAGTTTCTGAATTAGTTAAAAGCTTTCAAATATGGAAGCTCGATGCGCATATATTCAAATTGGAATTGGAATATCTGGTTGTAAATGTAACCAGACATACAACCCGAAAAACATGTCTCTAGAACAAAATGCAAGCGTTGAAATCAGTCGACAGTGGTCCAATTTCAAACATTAATTCAATCCCAAAAACATGTGATGTCTCTCTGTGTCCAGTGTCGGCTTATCAATATATATTTCTCAATTCAACTATTTAAGTAATTAACTTGGATTTCTCCAACAATATATTATGTTACTTCCATAATAATTTAATCAACTAAAGATCTTGAATTATTCCTTGTACATGCGGCTCTTCAATGGTTCAAATTTATAGGACGACTATGATAGTTGGATCGATGTCTAATAAATTGACTATGGTTTTATATGGTCCCTTTACTGGGTTTTTCTTAGGGTTTTGCGTTATGCTCATGCATTGAGAGAGATTTTTCAGTATACCTAGAACATAGAGTGGTATATCACATGTCACTATACAAGTA